CACATAAATTCTGCCCTATCTACACATAAATTCTGCCCTATCTAAACACACCAATTCTGCCCTTTCTACACACCAATTCTGCCCTATCTACACACCAATTCTGCCCTATCTACACACCAATTCTGCCCTATCTACACATAAATTCTGCCCTATCTACACACCAATTCTGCCCTACCACAAACACCGATTCTGCCCTACCACACACACCAATTCTGCCTTATCTACACACCGATTCTGCCCTATCTACACACCAATTCTGCCCTATCTACACACACCAATTCTGCCCTATCTACACACCAATTCTGCCCTATCTACACACCAATTCTGCCCTATCTACACACACCAATTCTGCCCTATCTACACACCAATTCTGACCCACTACACACCAATTCTGCCCTATCTACACACCAATTCTGCCCTATCTACACACACCAATTCTGCCCTATCTACACACTAATTCTGCCCTATCTACACACCAATTCTGCCCTATCTACACACCAATTCTGCCCTATCTACACACCAATTCTGCCCTATCTACACACCATTTCTGCCCTATCTACACACCAATTCTGCCCTATCTACACACCAATTCTGCCCTATCTACACACCAATTCTGCCCTATCTACACACCAATTCTGCCCTATCTACACACCAATTCTGCCCTATCTACACACCAATTCTGCCCTATCTACACACCAATTCTGCCCTATCTACACACCAACTCTGCCCTATCTACACATAAATTCTGCCCTATCTACACACACCAATTCTGCCCTATCTACACACCAATTCTGCCCTATCTACACACCGATTCTGCCCTATCTACACACCAATTCTGCCCTATCTACACATAAATTCTGCCCTATCTACACATAAATTCTGCCCTATCTACACACACCAATTCTGCCCTATCTACACACCAATTCTGCCCTATCTACACACCAATTCTGCCCTATCTACACACCAATTCTGCCCTATCTACACATAAATTCTGCCCTATCTACACACCAATTCTGCCCTACCACAAACACCGATTCTGCCCTACCACACACACCAATTCTGCCCTATCTACACACACCAATTCTGCCCTATCTACACACACAGATTCTGCCCTATCTACACACACCGTATCTGCCCTATCTATACACCAATTCTGCCCTATCTACACACCAATTCTGACCTATCTACACACCAATTCTGCCCTATCTACACACCAATTCTGCCCTATCTACACACCAATTCTGCCCTATCTACACACCAATTCTGCCCTATCTACACACCAATTCTGCCCTATCTACACACCAATTCTGCCCTATCTACACACCAACTCTGCCCTATCTACACATAAATTCTGCCCTATCTACACATAAATTCTGCCCTATCTAAACACACCAATTCTGCCCTATCTACACACCAATTCTTCCCCATCTACACACTAATTCTGCCCTATAAACACACCAATTCTGCCCCATCTACACACTAATTCTGCCCTATAAACACACCAATTCTACCCTATCTACACACCAATTCTGCCCTACTACACACACCAATTCTGCCCTATTTACACACCAATTCTGCCCTATCTACACACCAATTCTGCCCTATCTACACACCAATTCAGCCCTATCTACACACCGATTCTGCCCTATCTACACACACCGTATCTGCCCTATCTACACACCAATTCTGCCCTATCTACACACCAATTCTGCCCTATCTACACACCAACTCTGCCCTATCTACACACCAATTCTGCCCTATCTACACACACCGTATCTGCCCTATCTACACACCAATTCTGCCCTATCTACACACCAATTCTGACCTATCTACACACCAATTCTGCCCTATCTACACACCAATTCTGCCCTATCTACACACCAATTCTGCCCTATCTACACACCAATTCTGCCCTATCTACACACCAATTCTGCCCTATCTACACACCAATTCTGCCCTATCTACACACCAATTCTGCCCTATCTACACACCAATTCTGCCCTATCTACACACCAATTCTGCCCTATCTACACACCAATTCTGCCCTATCTACACACCAACTCTGCCCTATCTACACATAAATTCTGCCCTATCTACACATAAATTCTGCCCTATCTACACACACCAATTCTGCCCTATCTACACACCAATTCTGCCCTATCTACACACCAATTCTGCCCTATCTACACACCAATTCTGCCCTATCTACACATAAATTCTGCCCTATCTACACACCAATTCTGCCCTACCACAAACACCGATTCTGCCCTACCACACACACACCAATTCTGCCCTATCTACACACCAATTCTGGCCTATCTACACACACCGTGGCACATATCATGTGTGTACAGCCAGGTGTGCTCTTCTGATGCAGCACACGTTTAGTATGCGGGTCACATACTGCGTCATGTCCAGATAGCACATATCAATGAACGATAACTCAATCACCTGGGGCTGATATATGTGTGATTGACTTCCACCTTCATCACCTGTAACTGATACCTGTGAAAATTTAACCAAGGACTGCCTTGAAACATTTCCGATAAAACAACCGTGAACTCGCTGAACTCAGGGGAATCAACCACGTGTTTGGTTGACCAATCAGAACACTGCTAACAAAGTGTGCTAGTCTATTCCGACTAAGGGACTTGTAGCGGAATAGATTCGCGGAAACAGTTTAAACTGATGGACTTATTTCTGCTTGATTCGATTCACGTAGTAGGAAGTTATTCATTATCTGAAAGGTTTTTTTCCTCACTTAAACCTTTTCTTAAAAATAGTTGATCAAGTGTCGATACAAAGGTTGAAATGTATACTTTTCAATTTCAAATACCAGTCAATTAACGTAAAAGATTAAAAAAACGTGTTAAATATTTTTAAACATAATTATTTCCCAATCTTTAAGCTCTTAAATATTGGGGAAAAAAATAGCTATTATAGATTAAATTTAAAACACGTATTATTATTACATGAATACCTTTCTTTAATTATTTAAAAAAATGATTCACTGTTGTGCCTAAGTAGACGAGTTGTTTTTCTTCCAACAAAACCGACTTTAGAGATAGAGCATTAATTCAATATCATAAAAGAATTAGAGTGTGTAGTATTCTCTTTGTTGTGAGCAGTTGTAAGTTTTATTTGTTTCTATTAATAATTCCCAAGAATTTTGTTATAATTAAAACAAGACAAAAAATAATTAAGAAGCATAGAACATAAAACAAGTATACGAGTCTTTATATTATCATTATTTTTTAAAATTCCTATAAAATCTGTCGTATAAAGTTATTTCTATGACTGATTTTAAAATCAATTTTAGTGTTTAGGAATTGTAAAGCCACAATAGTAGGACATTCGTTGATAATCCTTTTATGAAAACTATCGGTACCATATTTACTCTTTCCATTCAGACTATCATTAACTAAGTCAACAATTTGCACGACTAAACAGAATTTCCTAAAACCCAATCAACAGTTTGTGTTTTGAACTTACATTTAATTTCTTAATCTTGATATCGTCCTTACAGGCTTATAATTAACTTAAACGATCAGTTATATAATTATTGTAATAAAAACAATAGCATTGCACGTTTGTTATTACATTTAGTAGACTTAAAATTATTTTAAACTAACAATTATATTATTTGCAACGACTACAAAAATAAAACACTTATGGGCCCAAATTGAGTTGAAAGATTTGATCATGTTCTGATTGCTATTTTAACTTAAATGTGTGGAAAAAAAAAGGATTGCATTTGGTTTTATTACCATTCAAATGTTATTCAGTGTTGTTCCGAATTTTTAAAAAAACGAACACTATTTATGTAATACGTAAGTTTCGCTGCTTAATTCCTTAATGGATTTTATATTTAAATGTAATGCCTAAAACCAATAATAGATTTGCATATATTTCGTACTATTTTTATAAGAAAGAAAGTTGTAATTAAAGTGCCAACGTGTAGAAAGTTTATTTTAATACTCGTGACGACATCCTAACGTTTGACAGCGCCATTCTAAATATATAAAACCTGTATCCAGTAAGTAGGTTGAGTTGAGCTCAAGGGGAGGGGCGAGACAATTTTGTGGAAAAATTTTGGCGACCTTGATAAAATTATTATTTCTTGCTAAATTGTAAAGTTAGGGTTCCAATTATCGATTTTAAGTTAACTTTCACCTTGTTAATAAAACAAAATTCAAATTTAAAAAAAATAATTATTAATTGTCTCAAATGTTGTTGCTCTCGTTTGAATATTTTTTTTTATTAATTCAACATACTTTATTAATCCACCATACTTTATTATTCCAGCATACTTTATTAATCCACCATACTTTATTAATCCACCATTCTTTATTAATACACCAAAACTTATTAATCCACCATACTTAATTAACCCACCACATAGAATTAATCCTCCCCTTTTTATCAATTTGTTACTGATATTAAATATGAAAATCATAGTTTTACTATTTGACTATCCAGCTTATCTGTTTGATTATTCACAGGTATTCCAGGGGTCGGAAAGTATACTTGGATTAAGCATGACGACCAGTGGATAAATTATCCACAGTTTTTCAGCTGGATGAATATTGCACCCTAGCTATATTTAATCTACACCGGTTGTATAAAGTTTCTTGATATGTTACCATGACTGAATCAAGTTTTGTAAATAATTTAGGGTATTTTAAGGACTCGGTCAAGTCAGACCTAGTTGTCACTGTGTCAACAACATAAATACATCGACACTTTGGAAAGTTGTCCGATGTGTTGACAACAGTACTAAATCAAGATTTAGACATTATAAATTGTTACAAGAGAGCTCAATAAGGAAAGCTCGATAAGGCATGGAAAATGACAGAGATTTAATTAGCAACATTTTGAAGTGAACCTCGCCTAACTAATCATGACATTTAATAAACGTAATTATAAAATGACAGACGTGAAATTAAGCCCCAGATGTATGTGTCAGTGACATCTGTCATGACATCAAACGTGGCCGCCCCATGACAGACAACACAACGATTAGCTCCCCTGACGAGGTCGACTTAAACCAGAAATTGATTCTCCTGTTCTCGTTACTCAGTGGCTTGACTCTACTTGCCCTGCTCGTGGGCTGCATCGTTTACCGTCACAGGGACAAGATTCGGCTATGTTGCAAGCGCCAGTGCATACACCACTATGAGGACGTCGTGGAGCCGCCCAGGAACACCAGACCAACTCCACCCTTAGTTCCTCCCCGACGAACGTCCACAACCAACCCGACCCCCACAACCAACCCGACCCCCACAACCAACCCGACCCCCAACGAGTCGGACTCCGACAACGAGTGGTACGTTGACAACGACCCCGTAGTTGTTGCTGCATTGGCTTCTAGTACATCCTCCAGGCCAAACCGCCAAAGAAGAACCGATCACGGTTTGGAAAGAGAAAATGACATTTTACTAGGGTTAATGCCTTTAAACCGTCCCCCTAGCACTATCGTACGAAGCAGCAGACCAGCAGCCGCCGAGTGTAGACCTACACGAGTCCGACGTCACAAGTCTCAGACCTGCTCAGACCACCCTGTGGGGTTCCCCGTGGCCCGCTACACCCACCGGAAAGCCAGCACCTGCAGCGACGTCGAACTTCTGCCGCCAAGACACCGGTTGACTTCCCAGACTTCCACTGAATCCCAGTACCTCAACGACAATCCCAGACACGATACCGGCCCGGAGCTCAGAACTTCCAGAAGTAGCGAGAACTTTCGCCCAACATCCACCCAGGCACACGACGCCGGGAGACGCTTTGGGGATGTTCCTACAGGCTTTCGCCACTCCAAAAACTCGGCGGGAATTCCAGAGACCAAAACGTCAAAAGCTGCGAGTCGCCAGGCCGCCAGTCGAAGGCCGACCAGTTGTAAACAGGTCGATGCCAGTTCAGCAGACAGACCGTCCCACAGGGTCAAATCGTTTCCCACGTCACAGGTCAGGCCAGTCGTCGTGGTTCAAGTGTATGACGACACGGATCTGCAAGGTGCCACGGCACAGCCACGTGAACGTGAGCCACGGTGTGACACCAGGCCTAAACGTGACAACCAGACACGACGTGATAGCGATCTAGAACGTGAGAATCAGTCACGGCGTGGCAGTAACTCACAGAGTGGCAACCATGGACAACTAGACAGCAGATTAAACCGTGACAGTCAACCCTTGCTTGACACCCAGCTTCACGAAATGCAAGCATCGCAAAGGGATCCACCAAACGGAAGTGATCCATCAGTTCAGCCGTCCACTGCTCTCCCTCCCCCACAGCCGTGCAGACATTCGAGAAGTATCCATCAGAACCACGTGACAATCCCCAACACGTCACAAAAGTCACACCCAGAAACATAACTCTCTGATGTACAAGCAACCCGACTGAGCGATGATCGGATGAAAAACAAAGGACGAAATAACGAGTTTCTCTGAACCATTGAAGCCAGCTGATCTACTAGTGACCCATAAATGTGTAGTGTTATGTCTACATAGGTCTGACCAGTGGCTTCGCTAAGTCGGGTGTCATCTGGTGCGTCACCTTATGGTGTCACCCCCCAGAAGAAAAAAAAAAAAAATATATATATATATATATATATATATATATATATATATATATATATATATATATATATAAGGTCTACATAGGTCTATATGAATAGTTGCAATTGGTGTCACCCCCTTCCATTTTGCCTAATGGCGTCAATTTGTGCGCACATTATATTAATCCACTAATTCATTCATATGGAAAAAAAAACATCATTTTCAGTGTCACCCCCTCGTAGGATCTTGATTTTTTTTAACAGTAATTCAATATACTCAACAAAATATTTTTCCTCTGTAAAGTTTGTAGCTTGTGTTAAACTCCCCCCTCCTCTCCTCCCCCACCCTCGGGTGATAGTTTTAAAGTGTGCACAGTTAATAATCGGTTATCAATAGTTGTGGATTAACTCTAAAATAATCATTGATTAAGCTGACAAACAGATTTTTCTTCTAAATATTTTGTGACTTTCGCAATGGTGTCACCCCCCCCCCCCCCTAAATCTTGTCAACCGGTGCGGCCCGCACCCCCGCCCCGCCTCGCGACGCCACTGGGTTTGACCTATAGGTGGTTTTGTCTATATATTTCTAATGCCCTATCTACATAGAATCACCCGATAATGTTCGGATCATAGTACATTGTGTAAGCTGGTTCCCTGTATCATTCATTTATCATAACTAAAGCCAATTAGCTAGACACTAATACACATCACAGCAATACAAATACAACTTTCTAAACAAATCATCGCTCAAGCTAAAGAAACAGCCAAGCGTACATAAAAAAAAACAAAGATAAAGTACACTGTTCTTATACAACTAAAACATGTTGAATAGCGTGTTACTTGTTCTGTATATTTAATACAAAATTCAATGTGTTCATCAAGTCAAATGTGTTCATAGTGCGTTGATTTGTTCTATATTTAACACAACATTCATTGTTTTCACCAATCAAAATGTATTGATTTATTCTATATTTAACTCCATAGTCAATGTTTTCACCCATCAACAAGTGTTCAATGTTTTATTTTGTATAAGTTTTGATGCAACATGCTATCGACATAAATGGCCAATAAAGAAAACCATGACTACAGTAATATTATAGTTACAGTGAGTCTCGGAATACGAACGACCCAGAGTACGAATAATACGAGCTCAGGAGACGCCAAACGTTAAAAACTTTTCAGTTTACTTAACAACCCAATTTTCTTAAATCTCAATATATATTTATACCGTATGGCCCTCAAGGATGAAGATAGGAGAAACAAATGGAGGGTTCCTTTTCCCATTTTTGGAGTGTTACAAAAACTGTGTGGGTCAAATAGAAGGTTCCTTTTCCCATTTTTGGAGTGTTACAAAAATTGTGTGGGTCAAATAGAAGGTTCCTTTTCCCATTTTTGGAGTGTTACAAAAATTGTGTGGGTCAAATAGAAGGTTCCTTTTCCCATTTTTGGAGTGTTACAAAAATTGTGTGGGTCAAATAGAAGGTTCCTTTTCCCATTTTTGGAGTGTTACAAAAATTGTGTGGGTCAAATAGAAGGTTCCTTTTCCCATTTTTGGAGTGTTACAAAAATTGTGTGGGTCAAATAGAAGGTTCCTTTTCCCATTTTTTGGTCTGTTACAGAAATGTTGTCGGTGAAATGGAGAGTTCCTTTTCCCATTATTTCGGCGTATTACAAAAATTGTGTAAGCTACCCATGAGCCTTCTTGTGCTTGACGTGTTATTCTCTTTTTAAATTATCTAATCTAAATAAATCAATTAACAAATTAAAAACCTTGTCAGGTTGTTTTTTAACGGGACTAGGTCTGTTTTATCATGAGAGACTTTTTGTGTTGTCTGTGTTGGAAACTAATTTTAAGACGTTTTCCTTCGTGAACTCTGCGATACAATTCATTTGTTTTTTTTTTCATCTAAATTTCTAATAGCTATCCAACTTATGCGAATCAAGTTAGCTGTTCTTAAAAAAAATTAATTTAATTTAATTTTAATATATTTCAAATAAAACAAATATTTAAAAAAACTTTAATAATGATGACTTTTAATTGAGATAAAATATTTTTTGTGCCTTCGATATTTAATTTACAGCGTCAGTTTGCCTTGTCGTGTTCGCTTTAGTATTTCAGAATTTCATCTGTTTATGAGGAATGATACATATTTACAATTGTAATACTGTCTCACATATATTTTCATTTATTAAAGATAGTTGACTTATACATAATATTAAGTTTTAAACCTGAAAATTTGAATTTTTAATTAAACTGTGATTCAATGTTCAGTGAACAGAAGAATAAAAAATTTAACTAAAAAAAAAAGTAGAAACAAACTTGCTTTAATTAAAGTCTAGGTGGCTCATGAGATCTATGGCATATTTAAAAACGATCAAAGCTTTTATTATAAAAAAAAGTTTGTTTTATTTTCGTATTTCCAGTGCATTTAAAAGCTTCTTAATATATCCTTTTTTTAAAATATGTGTTTAATTTTCCACTTTTTAGTCATTTGTTCTAAATGAAGTTGGCACTACAGAGTCTAAGACTAATAATATTTGCGTTCAAACGCTATCAGTAGCTTGTAATCACTGGTATTTAATCTTGTTATCTCCCCTTTTAATATTGAATACAGTAAATTTAAAAATATTGGCTGAGCTTATGTCCAATTAGATTAAAAAAATATATTTTTACATTGTCACCGGAAACGAATGTTTAGAACGAAATCGCTGCATTAGAAGTGGGTCAAAAGTTAACTTACACGACTTTATGCATCCAACACTCAAACAGATAGACATTGTGAACTAAATAAAAGGTTATGAAATTCAAACTTCTGCATTAAATTTTATGTTAAAACCGTGTGCTTTTCTTGTAATCAAAATGCTGTTTTCTTTTTTAAGCCTTACAGTATGCGACTTATATATATATATATATATATATATATATATATATATATATATATATATATATATATATATATATATATATTTTTTTTTTTTTTTTTTTTTTTTTTTTAAATTTATATTTATATACTTTTCTGAATGTGAAAGTAACAAGTAATACGAATCTAATCTTAGACTGGTCCAACATTGACATTGAAGTCAAAAGCCTTACAAATCAAAGAATTGAGACACTTGAAGCACAAACTCGTACGATCGGTCGGGTTTTCCCTCCAACACAAATACTCCAACAACGTGATATGCTTGTATTTCAAGTGTAAGAAAAAAAATGATAGGTTGATTTTGCATGAAATATTTTTTTTTCTCTCTGTACAACCGTGTGGAACGAGAGGCGGAAAATCCGTATCCTAACCAGGTCACGGAGACATCCAGTCAAATTTATCTAACACGACATTAAATCAGGCTGATTAAAAACACTGTGTTAACTTACGAACACTACTTATAAACTTTTTAATAATTTGTGGCGATCAAGGGAGTAGACTAAAGGGCAGATAATAAATTTGTTTTTTCATGATACGAGTTTTCTATTAGCACTGTGTATGTGAAGGGGAAAGACTTCAGATCGTTTTAGTGGTTTTCTTCAGAAATGGGTGGAGTAATATCCACAAATAGTTAAACAATCTTTAATTTTGATAACACTGGCGCTGAAATAGGGATATGGAATACATGTAATACCGAAAACTTACCGAGGAGCGTTTGTAATGTGTATGTCTCATACTAACTTCACATTTATACTAGTCTGTGTCATACTGGCCACTACACATTCAGTTTCTTATATCATAAGCCTACATTTTTTCTGTAAACCCCAAGCTCTTAATTAGTTTTTACTTACTCACCTGAGCTGAAAAATAAATCAACTACATTTTAAATATAATAAGCACCTCCCCTACCACCCCCTCCCCCCCCCCCCCCCAACACTCACTCCAGTGGTATGCTCAATGCAATATTTTCACTTCTGCTGCCGCTAAATTGATTTTATATCGACACTGAGGGAATCTTACCATTCTCTATTCAACATACACACTCGAACGTGTAGTGCAATAGCGTTGAGTGAAGGGGGTGAAGAATATTTTATATTTCAAGACTTTGAACGTTATTTATCAGTAATGTGGTAAGATTGTTGAACTTAAGAACGGAACACAATAATTTGTGTGGTGGATTTACTTGACACTGTACCGTGTGTGAGATTCTGGGATCTACTGTGTGTGTGTTTTGAGAACCGCCACAATGAAGTATTAGAACGACACATCTGTATCTGATGTATGGATGTAGTGTCTATGTTTTGAAAACCGTCCTAATGAAGTATTAGAACGACACATCTGTATCTGATGTATGGATGTAGTGTCTATGTTTTGAGAACCGCCCTAATGAAGTATTAGAACGACACATCTGTAATTGATGTAGGGATATAGCGTCTATGTTTTGAGAACCGTCCTAAAGAAGTATTAGAACGACACATCTGTATCTGATGCAGTGATGCAGAGTTGCAGCTGTCTAGTTACTGACGTCACCATACAACCGATAACATAGAACACGTGATGTAAATATTTTATCCATAGCATTCAGATACGGTGGATGTAAATATTCATGTTTTGCATAGTGATTGTGGAGATAAAATCGTAAGTACTTAACAGTGTTTACACTGTTTCTGTGGCGACCCATTGTAAGTACTCAACGTTTTTTACACTCTATTTATCGCGACCCATTGTAAGTACTTAACATTTTTTACACACTGACTCTGTGGCGACCAATCGTAAGTGCTCAACATTTCTAGCCCTATTGTTTTATTTTAACTTGATATACAAAACTGTAGTAAACAAATTTGGTTCCATATTTTTATATTTTTGATAACCACTTGATAACTTCTCTAACTTGTAC